GGGCTGGATGAAGTGGCTGGCAGAGCCTGAGAACCAGAACTCCGACGAGCTCGAGAAAAGAGGGCATCTTCGTGTCCACGCAAAGTAGTTTCAGGCATTCTGAACAAGCTGAGCATAGACGAATTCCCTAGGCGAAACCACGATTTTGCCTGTTTCCCCCTTAGTAGTGCTGCTTCTACACTACTCGTTCGAGAACCTGGTCTAAATCCTCGCAAACAGCACTACATTCAGCATGTTTCTAACCCTTGAAAGTTATTCGCCTAGCCCAAAAAAGCACGTACACCTAAGCGCCGCGGACCTAGTTGGGATGCCCGCGTTGAGACTTGCGAGCACGAGAGTCACGACTTTGCCATTTGGTTGTTGCGAGCTCCCTCCGAAATGCCTGTGCTAGGGGAAGCAGCAGCGGGAACTAATGGTAATTGGGGAGCTTGATATGTACAGAAGCAAAACTGTCAGAGAGTACTTCGCAGCGGTTTCTGTGATCGCATTCTTCACTGCTGTCCCTGAAAACCGCCACAATCCACTTCTCACCCCCCAGGTAGAAGCCCGGTATGATCGGGTTTGCCTGTGAGCACTGCGGAGGGCAGCAGAGTTCCCTGCGATTCTGTGCCAGGCGCGAAAAGCTGCGGCAAAGAAGGCGAAAGAAAAGGCAGAGGAAGAGGCTAAAGCGGCTAAAGCGCAACAGGAGGTGCTTGATCCGGGATCGTGGTCTGGGGAAGGGTTTGTGCCCATCATTTAGTACTCTGATTGTGACGATGCCTTTGTTGAATCCGTGTCCACTCGTGATAGAGCTCATCACAGCACTGCTTGCCATGCATTCTCCGCTCAGGCTCGGAAAAAGAAGCTGCGGAAGAGGCACTGCAGCTGCCCCTTTGCATCTCAAATCTATGGCCTGAGCAAAGTCAGTATGACATTCGGCTAGGCTGCCCTTGTCACCGGTGTTGAGGTTACCATGTTGTGTAAGTTCAAGGATTCTTGGAACCATGACACTCTTGTTTGCACTTACTGTGTTATGACAAAGACAGCGATGTTCATGCCGGCTGGAGGAAAGCAGCAAGCCCATCATCGAGCCATGACTCTCAGTCAAAGAGCCCGCATCTCTCTCTGGGCTTAGAAGTGAAGCAAGCGCAGCACACACAATTGGAGATGGACTTGCAGTCTGCGCATGATCCGCAGAGCAGAGTGGCAGCTTCTTGCACAGCAGTGGCTTTAACATTTGGGACCACGGCTTGGGACACGAAGGTTTCAGTACATCAAGGTACCGTCCGAAGTCCTTCATTTCTGATCAGGATCCTTCTAACTTAGTGTCGGCTCAGCTCCGAGGCGCTGCGCCCCCCGAGGAGCAATCGGAGCGCCGGGCACTCGCGGGCTGTGAGAATGCGCTCGAAAGTATCTTCTGCAGAGGTAAGCGGGTGTGTTTGTGTTTGTGCGTGTGAGTTTGCTTCATCCGCCCCCCCTGAGTGCTGGTGTCTGTTTCTGCGTAGGTGCATGTGCGCACATGGATGCGTCCACATAAGTGTATGTATCGTTTGAGCACTTCTTCCTGCAGCTGGTGCTGGTATGCATGTCTATATATATATATATAGAGATGTCTATATGTATATATGTATACATATATATATATATACATACATATACATCGAGATGACAATTATACTCACATCGCGGCAAATAAATCTATTGATGTGTGACGGACATATGTGGAGCCTTGCCTGCTGTGTGCGAGAGTGGAAGTCGAAATCTACTTCTGAATTCGCGTGGTTGTGATGATGCGGTTCCGCGTCTTTTTTTAGTTTGTGCGCGTGTGGGGCGTGTTTTTGCGTTACTGTGTGCGTGTGTATGTTCACACAGACGCACTTGTCCATTGTAGTGCAGTGCGTTTGTTCACGCTGAACTTTGTGGGAAGAGCTGCCGTCGTCATGAGCCGTTCGTGTTGTCCAAGCTTGGTGTGTCGACATTTGAAACTGTACTCCGAAACGCTCAAAGATGCCCGTCCCGTGCTTAGCTGTTGACCCGACGTTTTCAAGCCAGGTCGTCCAATCCAAAGTGGTGGAAGCCACACAAATTTGGTGAATTAACTGTGCCGTGTGTCACGTTCGTGTTCTATTCGCAGTTTTTCCGAGTCTTGGTCTTTGTCGTCATGTTTCTCAAGAAGATTTCCAAGCTCATGGAGCCAATGGCCGCTAGGGACAAAGCCTACGAAAACCTTCCAAGGCCTTGTGAACTGATAGAAGCGAAAGCGAAAGAGACTTGAGCCGAGTCGGGTCATTCTGAAAGTCTCAGGCAGTGAATCCGAAAAGGCTTCTCCGAAAGGAGAATGCTGGGTCCTCGGTGTTCCGTGTGGCTTGGTGCTCACGAGGCAGGCGATTGGGTAGAAGGCGTTCCTCCGTATGTTCGCCGTGCAACCGAATACGGGCAGATGGTTAGAAGGAAGTCAGTGGCCCCTCGTGCTTTGTCCTGCGCTTTTGGGGCGTTGCTCGAGTTTGCTTTCCTTCTTCAGTCCGGCTGTGGCATGTAGCGTCACCCTCAGTGCAGCATAAGTCTTCCATAAACTCTAAACCCTGCAAAAGCCGTAGTCTCCCCTTTCCGACCGAACAGCTTCGCCTGCAGAGTCCGAGTTTCGAGAGTCCGAACCGTTTGGTTTGTTGGCCTGCCTCTTAGGCTCGGAATCCGAAAAGGAAGCTTCCCCCGATGGACAGGAAGGTGCGCTGCAGATAGCACGCATTGGGAAGTAGCAGTGGCATGCATCACATTACGCCAGGTTCCGAATCTGACAAAGACAGAGAAGGCCGGCGAGCACTGCTGCAGCAGCCAATCCTCCTGGGTAGATCAATAAAATCACTCTGAGCTGAGTGTTGGGTGTTTTTTGGCGAGTCCGGAGCAGGCTGACATCAGAAAAGATTCCGTGTGCAACTCGCGTCGAAATCGTTTTTTTCTCCAGCTCACGCCTCCTCTAAAAGTCCCTTCAAAAAGCGGCGTCGTTGTGGCCGCAATGCTGCCACTTATGAGTCTGTGGACTGCCCTATACCCTGTAATGTCCACTTCATAATCAGAAAGGCCCCGCCTCCACCCCCAAGGATGCAAGCGAGTCCGGATTCAGCATCAGATCCACTCATCAGTGTCATGAGTCTAGCTTTGTGCTTCTGCAGGGTTCGCGGATTTGCTGAGGTCGGCTGCTTGAGATAATTCCCAACCCCAGGAGCCTTAAACATTCAAGATTCTGTGTTCCGCTCCGGCAGCTTGGATTCTGCAAATACCGCAGGGTTTCTCATTACTGGATTTTGCAGCTACGCGGGGGATGCTAAATATGAGGTTGAGATTATTCGTGTCAAGTGCATGCAAATCGTGCACAGTCCTGCGGGCTGTGCGCTCGCCACAGCCACTGTCACAATGCGCAGAGTGAAAAGGTATGCTCCCTTGATTGCGGCACCATCCGGCATCTTGTCAGTGACTGCTGTTGCTGCTTTCTTCTACTACTACTACTACTACTACTACTACTACTCCTACTGCTACTGCTACTGCTACTGCTACTGCTACTGCTACTGCTACGGCGACGACGACCTGCTGCTGCCAACTATAGTACGAGTCCTGCAAGAAGCTTGTGGTCATGTTTTGCCACGGCAGGCTCGCCTTCTGCCTCTGCGAAGCGCAGCGAGCCATGCTGGCATGCTTTGTGTGATGTAACCAGTCATACTAGCAGTAAGAAGTTTCAGGGGTAGACAGCGGTACTAACATTGCTACCACCAAAACATTACGCAGATGCTGCGACTGATTTCAGTGCGTCAACAAAGGTCTCTATGTGCGCATGTCGCATTACTGTAGCTGCAGGCCGCGGTCCCAACAGAAGCGAGCCCGCCGGAAGAAGGTGCTCTTTGCCTCATGAATTCTGTCTCGGATCTTGTGCAAAACTTTGAGTGCTTTCTCATTTTGTCTGGCCCGCAGGAGGAAGCTGAGGAGTCTGACGATAGGCCGGATACCTGAACGACCTTCAATCCACGGAATTCTGTATGGGTAAGTTGGGCCAATCCAAATTTTCCCTAGTGACCTGATGCCCTGGAGATACACAGGTCGAGCGACTCCAAGGTCAAGAAATCGCCGGGATCTCCAAGGGGGGGGGGGTTGCTTTTTGACGGAGACCCGCTGAAAAGTCGGGCCCGCATCTGGAATCCTTCTGCCTAAAGATAATGGAAGTCAACCAAAGCGCAGATGAATGACGCACACGTCTACAGTGTGCAGGAAAGGGCTGCGAAAACTCATCGTAAAGATAGGAAAAACGTGTTGCTACCTGTTACTTGAGATGCTCCCTGCAGTTCGCAAGGCGGCTTTCGGGATGTTTCGTGGTCTGCAGGCAAGGGGCAATACAATGCCATATGAAGTATGACCGGACGAGCCTATGCTAGGATCGATGCTTCGTCACGGAGGGTGGGCGCCACCAACTCACCAAGGCCTCCGAGACGACGGGCTTCGGCGAGGCCTTGGCTTGTCTTCAGCTGCTTCGACTTTCGACTGTGATCCACATGCATGGCAGGACTCGCAGAAATTGCAAGATCGGCAAGAGCAATTATTATAGTCGTCATAGTCAGAGGAGTCATTGGATTCATAGTAAACGTGGAGGAGCTTCTGGCGCTGAGCCAAGCGAAGAAGTCTTCTGCCGAGGGGCTCCAAGGCTCCTAAGTCTCGGTACTTCCATGGATGGGACGTAGAGACGTAGAGGCTCAGTGCACGAAGATGGCATGATTAGGCACAGATGTCGGCGAAAGATGTCATCATCTACCCAGTGGGAGCTCTCATAATTCAAGTAGCCGTGGACCATGGCATGGCCCTGATCCGACTTTTGACATACCTTTGGCGATGCCTCCGAAGCTGGCGACGATCCCATCCCATGCTGTGCTCATTGACCTCACAGCAGGGTCAGAGCACTTGCTCTCACCTGACCCATCGCCTGCGCATGGTACCTCCGAAGCGTCGGAAGACGCCGGAAATCAAAACTTTCCCTCTTGGAGCAGACAACAGAGCCCATGTTCTGTGCTGTCAGTTGCCTCTTCGGGGAGATTGTTTGCGGAGCCCCAACAGACTTTGCTCTTCCTGGATTGGGACGACACGATGTTCCCCTGCACGGAGCTCTTCTACAAGCGCGGCTTACCGAAGCGCAGCAAAGATTGGACGCCTCCGGACCCTGAGCTTTTGGCCGCTCTGGAGCCCTGGCAAAAGGCAGTCAAGGAATTCCTTGGCCGCGCCTGTGCTGTCAGCGACCGCTGCGTCATCCTCACCAACTCACGCAAGCCTTGGGTCTGGAGCTCAGGAAACTCGGGGGCGCAAAATAGAGTATATAGTATATAGTACATAGTCATTCTACAATATATCCACCTTTCGCCTGATTGTTTCAAGGGGTTGTCTTGCTGTCAGCATCTCACTGAGGTCACTTCTTGTCTGGGGCAGTTTGCACCCGAGCTCAAAAGCGCTTTCGAAGGAAGCGACGGGCCAACAATAGTTTATGCTCCTGAGGTTCTTAAGGAAAAGATGAAGCAGGAATCAGATAAGAATGCATGTTGGGAGTGTTTCAAGCCATATTTGAATACTTGCTGTGGTGGGCTGGCGCAGTTTATGGAGAACGAGATGTCTCTGATGCGCGAGCGGGTACCGCAGCCCTTCTTTGACTGCACCCAGGCCAAACTTACGGCCATGAAAAGGGAGGCAGCCGAGTTTTATTCCCAATATCCGGGACAGACGTGGAAGAATATCATAAGTCTGGGGGACATGTTCTACGAGCACGAGGCAGTAAAGACGCTACAGGCCACTCGTGTACCTCAAGAGCCAAGAGAGCGCTTGAGGACCAAGTCTTTTGTTTTGTGCCCTGAGCCATCTTTGGCGGCATTGACATTGCAGCTTCGAGTCTGGTCGCTGCTGCTACCGCTGTGTGCTCGCTTTGATGGCGATGTTGATCTCGACCTCGGGAGGTCTCCCGTTCCTTTCGAGGATTTGGCTGCAGCCTTCAACCTGCCACAGCTCTCGCGGCTTCAACTACCGGCTTTCTTCCGAAGCGCACGGCGAAGAAAGTCTGTTGAAGACATGTTGGACCCCCGAAGCGACTCTGACGAACTCACCGCAGACGAACATCGTGCTGCTGAAGAGTTCTTGGATGAGCTCACCATCATCTTACAGGACGCGGTCCTGATTCCCAAATTCATGAAGGCTGAATAAGCCCAGTGAACGAGTTATGCAAACTCCTGGGGAAGGGCTTGCAGGGGTAGGGAGAGGATGGAGAGGGAGAGAGAGATCGCTGTCGTGACTGGGGGCGCTTTCCCTGAGAAAGAAACTGCTCTTTCTATCTTCCCTTCCTTGGCACTGCGCGTAAGGCCGGGAGATTTGAGATCAGTCAGCACCTAGAGGCATGAATGCCAGCAAGGGACCCCAGCCCAGTGGCACATGTTCACCATAAAGCTGCTTCATGCACGAGTCAGTCCACTACAGGTTTCAGTCAGCACAAAAGCTCTTCAAATCAGAAATGGTGCAAGTGTTTGTACCGGACCCCTGCGTGGTATCTAGCTGTTCTGTGTAGGCTTCTTGGGAACTTGGCACTCAGAGGGTGCTGGCTATGGCATCCTTCCAGTCTCTGCTGCTGCGGCCCTGCTGCTCTAGCCTTCAGGCCGCCCACACCGCGGAATTCGCAGCCCGACTGCACTCGCACTCGCAGCGAGAGCGGCACTGTTAACCAAGCAGGCAGGTTAGAAATGTGCGGGGGGAAGTATCTGGACCCTGGACTACACTTGAGAAGTGGTTGAAGAATACCTTAGCATTTGCATAGCCACAAACGACCCAAGTTGCGAAGCACTGACAGTGGCAGCATCGGCAGATGTTGTAGATCTGGTACTGCCAACGCATGCACCCGCGACAACAACACCAGCAGCAGCGCTCACGACAGCAACAGCGACCGCCACTTTCGTAGCACCACTAGATTCGTGGCGGCAGCTCTACAAAGACATGTGGGAGTTCCCGAAAATTAGGGGTACCTCATTTTGGGGTCCTTATAATAAGTATCCTATTCTTTAGGGTACTATCTTGGGGTCCCCATGTGCTAAGTCCTAAGATGTAGATGTGTCACGGGCCCAGGATCTGGAGCTACAGCCTCGCGACGGCCCGCCCATTCCATGTCATTCGAGCTTGCTTCGTGCACGGCAACTGGGCCCAAACCTTGGGAACTTAGTGCACTCCGAATCTGCAGATTCGTATATTGTATATTATGGTATACTATATATAGCACGATGATAGTATGTATTATAATCAAAGTAGATGCCCGTCTATCATAGTGTGTGATCGTATCTTCGAAGCATCCAGGTGCCCTCTCTTGCAGATCGAGCGGCCCTGCATTTCCGTGGACGAAGACCACGGGGAGCCTCGGAGTCGGATGGGTGTGGCGTTTAGGGGTTTATGGCAGAGTCTGGGTTCAACAGGGGTTTAAGGTTTCGGGTTTTTAGGGTTTTAGGGTTTTAGGGTTCAGGATTTTAGGGTTCAGGGGTTTAGCTGATTGGCAGAGTCTGGGTTCAAAAAAAGGGTTCAGG